AGGTCCTGGGTTCACTCCCCAGTCCCTCCAGTATCAATCAATCAATCAGTCAAACAAACAACAACAACATCAAAAAAGAATATGAGTAGGGTTACCTACACCAATAGAGATCTTGAATGGCTTTCACGAAGGAGATCAGGAAATTTATATGCAATGACTACTTCATTTATTAAAATTTCCATGCTCTCTGAAATACTCTCTTGTTCTAGCCTTCTAAGCTTAAAGTCTTTCCTTAGGTGGACAAAAAAATATTGCCTGCCATTTCAGTAACTGAAGAATGTTGCCCACCATCAAGCCATCAACCACTGCAGCCAGCACCAATGATGTACCCTGAGGGGAAATCAGAATGGAGAAAAACAGGATACCAGCCCTAGATAGTTAAGATGCATATCAAGGAATAATTTCAAAAAGTCCTGAATCTAGCATCTTCTCATACATAGAAAAGCTCTAAAATCATTAACTTGAGATGTCTGGTTTTTGTAATCAGCAGTAATCTTTTGATATTTGACTACATAGGGTATTTTCTTCCCCCGCAAAAACTCCTATATATCCTGGTTTCTTCCTCACCTCTTGGTTGTATCCTGGGCAATAGTTCTCAATAATGCCACCAAATAAAGCATAATTCTCAACTTTTAGGTTGTGCATTTTCTTTTCAGTCAACACTTAGAGGTCCCTTCTCTCCACATTTTACATATAGCTGCCAAAATGCAGTTTTCTAAAATTCTACTTTCATTAAATCACTTTTCTGCTTTATAACCTGTAAAATCTCTTAACAAGTTATCATATTGAAGTCTAGACTCCTTTGCCTGGTTTTTGAAGGCCTCTGGAAATCCAGCAGTCTCTTTGCACAACTTTATTTCCCAGTCAGCTGTAGGCAGGCTGCTACCTCTCACCCTCCCTAGCAGACATACTCATTCCTGGTGCTTTACTAACTTTTATGTAAGCTGGTATCTATCCCCTTTTCCACCAGTTATTTCCCACACTCTTCTTTCCAGTTATTTTCCATCCTTCACTTTCTAGTGCCGAAATATCCCTCACTGTCTGTTTCAGATCTTTCATTCATTTACATTTACACAACATTGACATTTACATGAACGTTTACAAACATCTACATGGAATGTGCTGCTGTGGCTCTTAGGGATTCAGGACCAATCAGAAATAAAGGAACATTCCTGACTGCTCCATTTATCAGAGCTCTCCCTTCTATGAACCTTTAGTAAACTTCCAATAACTTTCAGCACTTATTTTCATATTACTTTATCTTTTACTTATTTTTATATTATTTATTTTTTATATTTTATATTGTTTATATTTAGTTCTGTTTCATGTCTTCATTCAATATACACTTCTTGTGCAATTGCTCTGTACTAGGTAGATGGCTACTGATAACAGTGGTAAACAAGACAGACATAGTCCCTCGTGGAACTAAAGGTCTAGTAGAGAAAATAGATACTGAATAATACAAATAAATAATACAATAATACAAATGTAGTGAGCATTACACATAGGATTTGTGGAATGAAATGAAATGAAATCAAAGACTATCTGGAATAATTATGTGGAAAAAATGAAAGCCTACTGAGAAAATGATATCTAAACTGAAACCTGAAAAATGAATAAAGGTTATGCAGATGAAGAGTAGGAGAAGTGTGCAATAATAAGGAAATAGTTTGTGCAAAGACTATAAGCAAAAGAAAACATAGTTTAGGGAAATGATAAAAAAAACTATAAAGGTACAGATGAAGAAAAATGAATGAGGGGGAAAGTGGGATAGTGTGGTGTTTAAATGAAATCATGCATAAGAAATTACCTTTTCAACTAAAAAGTGAAGCAGAATTCTTAGATTTTTATAACGCAATTCAACTGTTCAAGTTTGTGAGAGAGAAAATTAGACTTGAAACCAAAATTGAATTAGAAGGGTAGTCAGATAAATCAAATAAGAAAAATAAGTGATATGCAATTGGTAAGATTTACTGAAAATGAAATGTAATAAATGACAAGAAATACAGTTACTGTTTTTGAACAAAGATTTCTAACCCAGCACAACCTAGCAAGCAGAATTCAAATAAAGACAGATAATATGAATGTCAGTTGTTGTCATGAATGTCCTAAACCAAGTACTAAAATAATTACCGGGGCCTTAGAGCTTTTATAGATTATATGCATAAATGAATCCAATTACCAAACACAAAGCATCATCTTGCAAACACTAAGGATAGCAATGTATGTTACCCGCTTGGGGATGACGCGTGATCATCTCACTTCTGGACAATAAGCTCCCAGAGGTAAGCATAATGTCTTACTCATCTTTGCATTTCCTATCACAGAATGTATTTAATAGGTGTTTGTGAAACAGATAAAACTTCAAATATGAGAAATAAGTCAAGTTTTCAAAGTACAGTCTCTTTTAAAAGACTATTTAGAGCACAAATTACATAAAAATAGTTCACTTTAAAGATCTGACTCTACCTAGTTTAGTATATCTATTCCTATTTGATATTCCAAGGAAAGACTATCTAATAGCTAAAAACTGCTGACTGTATCCCAGAAAAAATTAAGCACACATTCTAACTACTATTTTCTAGTGTTCTAAAAGAAACCATTAGAAAGACATGGACTAAAGGCTTTCGTCAAATAGGTCATTGTCAAATAATAACACTGAGTTCTGAGTTTGTAAGTCCAGTAAAACATTTGTGTGATTTTAAGTGTATATCAAGTACAAAATGTTTATTGAATGTACAAATGAATAAGTGAATAAATGGCTAAATGAAGAAGGAAAAATGGAAGAAAGGAAAAAAAGAGGAAGAAAGAAATTACTTTACACCAAGAGGCAGTGGAATCAATAATTGGGGAATTAACACCCTGCCTAATAAAACAGCAAATTTTAACATTATATCAAACTCAGTTTTAAAGTCTTTCTTTTAAATCACAATGATTACTGTTAGACATTTTCGAAATGATTTTAAGAAATTTTTAAATTCAAGAACTACTTCACATAGCAAACAGGCAAGAACATTGTTTATATAATTCTACTGATGTGTATATAGCATGTGCAATTTCATTTTAGTTACAAAATACAACTTAATTCAAGACGTAATCATTCGCTTTCAAAATCTTATTTAAAAGTCATTTTGGGACTTACAGGTGAGTTGTGCTTAAACATGAAGGAGAGTCAAAAATGATATATACTTACAGCAAGAGGGAAAAACAAGAAGATCCCACCACTAAAATTATAAATTTTATACCTCAATCAAAATGCAAATCTGTCACTGATTATCATAGCATCAAAAGGCCAGAACATAACAAATGACACAACTAATTACTAAGTCAGTCACAAATTTAACATCTTAGCTTTCTGTTATGAAATTCTCTGTCATTGATCTAAGTCATATAATATTATGAACTGATTCCACTGTCAATTAATTTAAAATTTATATGTAATCATGTGTTTTTCATCTTCGTTTGTGATATTCAATTATGAAAAATATGCTTTCATGGTAAATCTTACCTCATTGTATCTGTTGCTGGGAATTTTGATGCTGGTTTTCCGAACTTCCATATCAACCACCAAACCTTGAACTACTGGCAATGTATATTGGTAATTTCTAAAGTCCTGGGCAAAAGCAGATTGAAGTGGAATAAAGAGTTCATCAGTGGCAGAATTTGATTTATGGCAATCAAATTATCACAAATGGAAAGATGTGAAAACTGAAACACCTCATTTACTTAAATAATAAGAAAATGTATTGTAAAAGCCCCACTGTGTGTATTTGAGCTCTCCAATTAGACTGTAAAGTCTTAGAAGGGGTAGACCAAAAAGTTTCATTTATCCTTTATATAGCAATATTAAACAAATATTTGAATGTTTACCCTGCTTTATCATTACTGTCTCCTGCCTCTAAGATAAGCTTCAAGGGCGTAGGGCCTCTCTCTTGTTCTGTTCTTGTTATATTCCAAATGCTTGGAACATCCTAGGCACTCACTGAATACTTGTAGAGTAGAACACACCCCCTCCCCACCCCCTACAACCAGTGTGGCTGAAGCAAAGTGAGCAATGTTGGTAGGAGCTGAGATCAAAGTGATGGCATACAGCTAGATTTCACAGGGTCTTGTAGGCCACCATAGGACCTTTGCTTTTACTTTTGACATATTTTAACAGATCTCTCCAACTTTCTCTGTAAAGAATAGATGGTAAAGGAGCAAGAATAGAAGAAAGGAAATCAGACAGACATAATAAAAGCAATCCAGGCAAGAGACTGTGAACTTGAACCAAAATGTTAACAGTTCAAAGAGTGGTGAGAAGTTGCCAGATTCTAGATATATTTTGAAGGGAAAAATGACAGTATTTGCCACTATTTGATGCAAGACATGAAAAAAAAAAAAAGTCAAAAGATGATTCTGCTGCTTAGCATGCACAAGGTCCTGGGTTCAGTCTCCAGTAACTCCATTAAAATCAATTAGTAAATAAATAAACCTAATTATTCCCCCACCAAAATAATAATATAATAATAAAATAAAATAATTTTTAAAAAAAGGTGATTCTGAATTTATTGCCTGGGCAAGCAGAAGACTTGGAATGCCCTTTACTGGGGTGCAGAATATGATGGGAAGGGGAGGTGGCAAGTGAGAAGGCTGCAGGGCAAGAACCAAGAAAGAATGGTGTTCTGGAAGCTCAGGAAAGAAAACGTACAGGTACTAGTAAGTTACTGGATGGAACTGCATGAACATTGTCTTCTGACTGCCTCTATTTATTCAGGGAAATTGGGGCTAGGTCATTAGCTGAAAATGAGGAAAGGAGAGGTGGCGTACAAAAAGAGGTCATGCACAAAAATTCATCAAGGAGAGTAGGAATGTACCGTGGACAAGGAAGGACTGCTCGGGTTGGTCTCCGAGCTTCCTTAATGGTACTGGTCATGAATCTAAAATGAGACCCATGACTATGCTACTCTTTTTGTCTTCACCCATTTTTAGGGTTGGATGAAAGTTAAGAATGAAAGGAGGTGCTTGCTTCAGCAGCACACATACTAAAATTGGAACGACACAGAGATTAGCATGGACCCTGCGCAAGGATAACATGCGAATTCATGAAGCATTCCATATTAAAAAAAAAAAAGAATGAAAGGAGAATTAGATCCACATAGGTATGATCAACTGACTTTTGATAAAGGTGCAAAGGTAATAAGCAAATAAAGAAAGGATAGTCTTTCTGACAACTGGTACTGGAATGACTAGACATACAAATGGGGAAAAAAAAAAAAACTCAAACTATGCCTCACAATCATAAAGAAAAATTAACTAAAAATGAATCACAGACCTAAATATAAAACATAAAACTATAAATCTTTTAGAAGAACACATGGAGAAAATGTGATATAAGTTTATTCAATAAGTTCTTAGATATAAAAAGCATGCTCCACAAAAATTAATAAACTGGACTTCAACAAAACTAAAAACTTTTATTCCATGAAAGTCATTGTTAAGAGAATGAAAAGATAAACCACAGACTGGGGGAAATATTTTTAAATGTTACATATCTACCAAAGTACTTATATTCAGAATACATGAAAAACTCTCAGGAGTCAACAATAAGAAAACAACCACCATATTTTCTAAGTGGGAAAAGAAACACGAATTAAAATCACAAAATTTAAAACCACTAAACTAGTGGAATGGCAAAAATTAAAAACAAAAGAGGAGAAATAACAACAGCTGGCAAAAAAAAAGAATTCTTGTACTTGACAAATGCAAAATACTGTAGGCATTTTGGAAAGCAGTTTCACAGTTCCTTATAATGTGAAACATACAATATGGCTCACCTATCCCACTCCCAAATGAAAAGAAATGAAAACTCAAGTTCACACAAAATTTCATACATGAATGTTTATAGCAGCTTTACTCACAGTTGCCAAAAAATAGAAACAACCCATATGTCCATCAACAGGTGAATGGATAAACTGTGGTTCATACATACAACAGAACACAACACAGCAACAAAAATGAATGACATTGATACTGAAGGGTACCAGAATATGCCACCCCAAAATATGCCTCTTGTTAATTAGTCTTTGGCCAATTTACAGGGCCCCAGTCGAGGAACCTAAGATGAACAGAGCAAAAAGACTATTTCTTCCCTAATAATACTTACAACAACACGGATTAAGCCCAAGGGCATTATGAGAAGTAAAAAAGCCAGACTGAAAAGGCTACATACTGTATAATTCCGATTATAGGACAGTCTGCAAAATCTACAGGGACCAAGGATCAGTCGTACCAGACATTAGAGGTACTCCAGCAAATTTTCTGGAGTGATACAACTGTTCTGTATCTTGATTGTGACAGTGGTAGTAACATAACTGCCTACGTTTGTCAAAACTCTTGGCAGTGTACTCCAAAAAAGGTGGGTTTACTGTATATAAATTAAAAAAAAAAATACTTTTAAAGAGAGAGGTAGATTTAAGCAGGGTTTACATTTTGCCAGGCTACCACAACAGAGGGTAAAATGGAAAAATGAACTAGAATGATGTTTTTAAAAAAAGTAATTTTAATGATAAAACCATGGAATCTTAAGACAGATAAAGAGACAAGTAAATAGAGTGAGAAACAGTGAAATGGTGTTGAAATCCAATAGATTGTAAATCCTGGTAAACTAGAGAGAGAGAAGGTGATGATGTTGAGTGAGATGCTCAATAGATATCCAAGTATTTCTATAACTGAATTGATATAGACCATAAAAACCTTAGGCTGCTGTTGCTAGATTACAGTAATCTGTTTAGGAGATATTTATCCTGTTATCTAGCAAAATATCTCCTTTTTATTCCAAATCGGATTACAATCAGTAAGAAAAAAAATTATCTTGTCAAAAAATGTGACTAAAACCTAATGTTATCAAGGAGGGACAAAGGGATAGGGGTTGGAGTAAAGAACAGAGAGAGAGAGATCTTACAGATTAAAATATAATTTAAAAATTTCCACTTCTGGCCAAGATGGAGAAAAGAGAACAAGACTACGGTCCTGCCTGAACCAACCAAAAAAATCTCACAAAACACACGAAACAATGATTTCCGAGACATGGAATCTCAGGCAATGAAGGACAGTGATCCTCGAGAGACAGGAAACAAACAAGATGAGCTCTGTGACTGCCCAGGTTATGCCTGACAAGTTTCCAAACTCAGGAGCAGGAAGGGGGAATCCAGGCAGAGGCTGGCAGATTTCCTGAGCTGAGGAGACAAAATCGAAAATCCAGAAAAACCAAAGTAGTGAGAGTTCACAGCACAGAGTATCAGAGAAGAGAAAACTGTAGAGAGAGAAAGCCACAAGTCTGCAGAAGGTCCCATCCAGTGTTCAGCAGTGTTCTGATTAGCAAATGTGTTTGAGGAAACTTCTTGAAGCCAGTGAAGGAAATGCCTGAAATGAATACTGGGAGCATTATCCGACACTCAGGTCTGGGAACAGTGTCCATTCCCAAAATCCAGATAGAAAAACCTCATAATTCATGGGCACTGAATAGGGTATTCCTGTATAATAAAGACTCTGACTGACATTTGCCCCTGGTCCTGGGAGGTAGTCTCAAATCCTTGGAATTTTTCTGAATGACAGGAGTGCATTTGTTATTCCTGGTGTACCCTGATGGTCTATGTCAATTTGGTAACTCATGATAAGCTCCTAGATATTTTTGCTAACAAGATGACCCAGGGTTGGGGGCTGGCCATTTCAGAAAAATCAACCATATGATCAGAGGCTGGAGCTCTCAGGTAAATGATATCAATCAGCTTGACTTCTGGGGAGCGAGGAGGGGATAGAGATCGAGTCTAATCACATGACCAATGATTCAGTCATTCATGCCTAGCAGGGAAACTTCAACAAAAACTCAGGACACAGAAGCTCAGGAGCTTACTCGGTGCACACTGAAACACATCACTGTACTGGGAAGGTGACATGTCCCTGAGGACACAGAAGCTCCTTGTTTGGGACCCTCCCAGACCTGGCACTATGTGTCTCTTGTTTTGGCTACTCCCGATTTGTTTCTCCTTGTTATAATAAAACTATGATCACAAATACAGTAGACTCTGAAACAATGAAGGGGTTGGGGAATCAACCCCTGCACAGTAGAAAATTTAGTGCATAACTTCAGAGTCAGCCTTCTGAACTGCAGTTTCCTAACTACAGATTCAATCAATTATAGATTACATAGCACTGCCGTACATATTTACTGAAAATAATCCACACAGAAGTGGATCTGAGCAGTTCAAACTGATATTGTTCAAGGATCAACTGTATAGTACTTTGCTGAGTTCTGTGAATCATTCTGGTAAATTACCAAATCTCATGGGTTAGTGGGATCTCACATATTTGTATCCAGTTAATCAGAAGTATGGGTGGTCTAGGGACCCCTGAGCTTGCAGCTAATGTCTGAAATAATGGCAATCTTGTGAAAGACTGTGTCCTTAATCTGTGAAGTCTGGCTTAATTCCAGATAATGCCAAAAGTCGTTGCAAATACAGTTAATCCTAGAATAATGTGGAGGTTAGGGGCACTGACTCTGCGTGGTCAAAAATCCGCGTATAATTATAGTTGGTCCCCCATATCTGCAGTTCTACAACCAGAGTCAACCACCCATGTATCGTGCAGTAGTGTAGCATTTATTGTTGGAAAAAAATCCATGTATAAGTGGATCCTCACAGTTCAAACCCATGTTGCTCAAGGGTCAACTATACTCAGAAGGGTCTTGCCTTAGTAGTGGGGAATAATTAACCCTATAGTAAACAAGACTTTGGTTCCTCCTTACAAATCTTAAAATCAAGACTCAAAAGGATCATTTTTAGATAAACTAACATTACTGGTAACCAAACTCAAGAATAATTACAGGAACACAAAAATATCTGGTATCCAGCAAGGGAAAATCACAATATCTGGCACCCAATAAAAATTTTTAAAAATACCAAGTATGCAAAGCAGCAGAAAAATACAATTCAAAAAAAGGAGGAAAAGTCAGTCAATGGAAACTGAGACAGAACTGAAATGGATGTTAGAATTACCAAACAATGACATTATAAAACTTATTATAATTATGTTTCAGATATTTTAAAAGTAAAGGCATAGAAGATACAGAAAAAGATTCAAGTCAAACTTCTAGAGATGAAAATTACAATGTCCGAGATTACAGGGGAAAAAAAGGATGGAATTACTGGCAGTTTTAATATCAAAAAATAAAAGATTAGTCAACTTGAAGACAGCAATAAAAACTGTCCAAAATGAAACACAGAGAAGAACACTGAAAAGAAGAAACAGAGCATTAGTAAGCTGTGAAACAATTTCCAGCAGCCTAATAAGTCTGTAACATTGGTGTTCCTGAAGGAGAGGAGGGATGGACAGAAAAATTATTTGATGAAAACTAAAAACACACAGATCTAAGAAGCTCAGAAAATTCCGAGTGCAAGAAACATGAAAAAAACTATACCGAAGGCACATAATCAAATTGCTTAAAATCACTGATGAAAATAAAAACTTAAAAGCAACCAGAGAAGGATAAAATACTACCCAGAGAGGAATCAAGATAAGAGGGAAAATATTTCTCATCTGAAAAAAAATGCAAACCGGAAGGCAATAGAGCAAATCTTTCAAATTCTCAAAGAATAAAGCTGTCAACCTAGAATTGTACATCTGATGAAAATATCTTTCAAATACAAAGGACATTGTTAGAAATACAGATGCTGAAAGAATTCGTCACCAGCAAACCCACACCACAAGAAACATTACAGGAAATCTTTCAGGTAGGGCAATGACACCAGACTGAAACACAGATTTAAACAGAGGAATGAAGAGCACTGGAAATGGCAGCTATGTGGGTAAACCTATAAGAATTTTTCTTATTGTTTAAATCTACTTAAAAAATAACTGAAACTATAACTACAGCTGCACGACAGAATGAGGAAATAACCAAATCAAGTTCCCCCAAAGCAACTAAAAAGCCGGGTAAATGTATTTTTTTAAACCACCAACCATTCAGTGCTCTGGAATCTGACCAAAGGTATACAACACACTGAGACATGTTTATTCATGAAAATTACTGAACTTCAAGTACGAATAATAGAGTTGAGCCTGTGA